TGAGTGATGTGATGCTGAAAAGGGCACTGACTCAACATAATGCTATCGCAGGATTGCGGTAGCGTTGGTTTTCAGCAATGCCCATTGAGGTTGGACTCGCCTGCGAGGAATAGTATGTTCGCTTTATTTCTATTTTCGAGAAAGATGTTATCAAAACAATAAAATAAAATAATGGTAATGAAAAAGGATGGGAACTTTATTTATGCAGTAGGTACACATAAATGTATATAATAAATAATATAATGAGAATTTACAATAAAACAATATAGATATTTATATTATACTATGAAAATGTAATATAATGCAGCTATTTTATCCGCCCTAAATGTTAACGTGACAAAAATATTCTTTTACTTTTACCTTGAAAAGGCTGATGGTATTTAGTTGGCGGATAGGTGGGAGCAAGTTGTTCCAGCATTTAGTAGCTGCATGTCGGAAACTACCACGGAATGCTGCCGTTGTGTGTTTTGGTATTGAAAGGACATTTGATTTTGTTCGAATGTCCTTAAAACTACCGTTCTTGCGCCATTTTAGTTTTTCTAATAGATACCCGGGCTTTTTTGTTTTGAAAGACACCGAACATTAGTGTTGCTAAATGTAGTTCTCTTAATTGGGACATTCTTAATAACTTTGATTTATTTAAATAGGGACTGACGTGCGTTCGTGGGGGAATGTGGTGTATATACCTGGCACAAGCATTTTGGAACCTCTGAATTATTCGGTCAGTTTTCGAAAGTAGCCTTGGTCCATATACCGTATCGGCATAGTTTAGCCTGGAGAGTACAAGGGAGTTGCAAAGCTTAATGCGCAGATCTTCACTCAAAAAGTCACGTATTCGGTACAATACTTTTAGTCTGTAAAAGCAATTACGTGCGATCTCGATCACGTGTCTCTCAAAGCGAAGCGCGTCATCCATAAGCAATCCCAGATTCTTAGTTTCAGTCACACGATTTATCTTCTCCCCGAGGACACACAGATCAGGATTATTTGCAACTATTCGATTTATCTGTCGCTTTGATCCCAATACTATGTATTTTGATTTTGCTGGATTGAGTACAAGAGCGTTGGCTTCTGACCACTGGGCGATTTTCGTTAGATCTCTATTTAAGTTATTAACAGCCCAGTTAGTTTGACTTGGTACAAAGGAAAGATATACCCGCTAATCGTCTGCATACATATGATATTTACAGTTCTGAATAGCTGTACTGATATCTGCTATATACAGTATAAATAAAAGAGGGCCTAGTATGGATCCTTGTGGAACTCCTCTCGTTACAGGACAAGGACTTGATAGAGTATGTGTACCATCTTTTTTGATTATTTTAACCAACTGCATGCGATCATTTAGATAACTGGAGAACCACTTGATTGCGGTTGGATCGAATCCATAATAGGAAAGCTTGGACAATAATAATTCGATATTAAGAGACTCGAAAGCTCGTGAGAAATCAAGTAATGTCATGATTGTTTCTTCACCTATATCTTGAGATGCTAAAATATTGTCCACTACGTCTAATAGTGCTGTTGTCGTGATATGATGCTTTCTAAAATCAGACTGCAGTTTTGGTAGTATGTGATTACTCTCCAAGTACGCTTCAAGCTGTACTACTATACTACTCTTTCCAGTATTTTCGACAAGCAGGGTAGGATGCTGATAGGGCGCAGGTCTTTGAAATTTATAATGCTATTGGTTTTTGGAATTGATGTAACCAAAGCGGTTTTCCAGCCATCAGGGAAATAAGACGTGATTATCGATCTGTTAACTATCGCGGTGATTACTTTTAGCGTGTAAGGAAGTGTTAAAACAACCATATCCAGGCATATGCCGTCAGCGCCCAAAGCGTTTGACTTAAGTGAATTAATTATTTTAGCCATTGTGTTTTCGTCTGTAACACTTAACTTAAATGTTGAAGAACAAAATCGATGGGAGCCAAAGAAAACATGTTCTGAATCGGGTGCTGAATCATTTCCAGGTATATTGCAAAAGTGAGAATTAATCAAATCCGGATCGTTGAGTTGGTCAGGAATTACATAGTCTCTAGATTTTTCTGATATGTTTATTGTCCGTTTAAGATTGATCCAAAGAGCTTTAGAATTAGTTAAATTGTGGTTTATATGTTGATTAAAATAGGCCTGTTTTTCGCGGTATAACGCTGAGTTTACAGCATGCTTAAGTTCTTTGTAATAACTTTTATGCTTCTCTAATCTAGTTAAGCAAAAACGATTATGTGCTTCATTCCGCAGTTTTATCATTTCTCGAATAGTAAAGGTAATCCTCCATATACGCTCTTTTACTTGCTTGAGCTTTAGTGGCGCGAATTGGTCAAACAGGCTTAACAATGTTAAATTGAATTGAGAAACCATATCATTTACATGAGGTAATTGGGCTATAGAATCCCAGTCGATACTTTCTATTTCGAAATTAAAACTATCACGATTTATGTCTTTCACTGGGCGATACATGAACTGAATTGGTTGACATTTTGGCTTATTGATTTTAAAGTTACATGTTAAGAAAGCATGATTACTTAGAGTTGGTATGTAATCGACGGTTACGTTAGAGATTGGTAGGTCGGTGCATATTAAATCAATTAATGTAGCACTGTAAGGAGTAAAGTGTGTAGGTTCATTTACATATTGGGTTAAATTTAGGTATTTTGTAAAATTGTCAAATTTATGAGTATTGTTGTCAGTTACCAGTAAATTTATATTAAAATCACCCAAGAGCACAATATTATCGCGATGGGCAAAAGATGATACTGAATCAGTAAGTGCGTCAAAAAAAATGTCTACGTCAAGCCATGGTGGTCTATAAGCAGTACCTATTATCAGATTTATGCCGTTAACAGTTAAATTAAGCCACATTTGTTCAACTGATGTTGCGGCAGGAAATACACACGTTTTTACAGCGAGTCCATGACGAACATAGAATCCAACCCCACCACCACGTGCGCGCGTGGTACTTGAACGTGGAATATGACGCAAGCGGTAACCGGGGATAGATGGCGCGCGACCTTGTTCTCCATCACGTAGCCAGGTCTCGTTTATAGCCATGATATCTACATCATGCTGCACCATTGCCACAATGAAGTCTTCATGCCTTGTACCCAAAGAACCCGGATTTAAAAAACCAACATTCAGCTTTTGATTTTTAGGCGCCATTTTGCACAGAGAGTATAATATATATCTGAACACAGGGACACGAGCAACTTCGGTATATGCATATAAACATACGTACGCATACTTATACAAACACACTCACATACACACATATACACAAACAGGGCAGCACCGTAGCTATAGCTATAACCGTATAACAAATCAAATTTCGTGTTATCTAATATTTTTCTGAAAAGTTGAATATCATAATTTATATAGTTAGTGTAATTGAATATTGGTGTTATATAATAAATTAAATAGTTGTTTATGACATAAGTTATTATGATAATATAGAATATTATAAAATATAGGCAAAAATAAAGAGAGCATTTTAAACCGGAAAATATAAAACGTACAACATGTATAATATACATATATACATAATAATATGCATTATGTATCATCAGCGTCACAGCACTTACAAATAATTTGTTCAATAATGTTAAAAAGTGTAGTACAGTATTATTAAACGACATAAGCGGATACATGACAAACGAGTAGGGCATAGACATATTAATCTAAAAATCATTTTCAAAAATTTTGTTAAATATGCAAGCACCAATAGTTTAAAAAATAGGTTCAGCAAACAGTTAAAAAAACAACAGAAAAGCAAAAGCTCCAAGTTTAGCCAACCACCGGTTCGCCAAAAAACTTGACAAGATCGATTTCAAATCTTATTCTGTGTGCCTCCGTGTTCTGATCTCGTCGCGCGTAAATGCGACCGTCTCGTGTCCACACATATTTCCAATCGCTCTTAGAGCCCATTTGACGAGCCTTGAAGAATAACTGGCGATTTATACGGGTAAGACGCTCATTTATATAGAACTTCTTCGGCGAACCCGGCAGGCCAAAACCTTTAGTATCGGCACCGCGACGGACACGCGCGCTTTGTAAGGCCTCTGCCTCGAATCTTGCGGGCAGCGGAGCGACGGCGACGACGGCGCGGGAGCGGAGCGGGCAACGCAGACCCGTTCACGAAACTAGCGGGCAGATCGCGCGACACTATAGCGGCGTAGTGATGTGTTCATGGTTGTGTTGTCGAGATGTTTGTTTTTATTTGCGAACGAAATGTCTGAACAATGGCGACAACATCTTTTTGATTCAAATTTATTTCTAACGCTCGATTTACTGTGGGCAAAAGAAGAAGTGAATCCCTACTACTTATAGGGCAAGGAAAAAAAAAGCCGAGTGTTATCGAAATTACGAAGAACAGAGACAATGTCCCGACAAATTCTACGACTACACCAGAATGAGCGTAGAAACTTTTGACTATATTATTGAAGCTATCAAGGGCGATTTAGATTCAGTTCGTTTTTAATTTCTTCCCATAACTGGTTAATTACTCTTCTATTTTTATGGTTCACATCTTTGCTGTTCCATATCGGTGTTCTCTCAAAAATTGCTGAAATAATTTGCTCTTGCACGTCCGAGGACATTTCGAAACGTCACAAAAATTAATTGCACAACACTGCAATGCAGACAGACGCGCGGGCGGTCACCGCTTGACTGGAGTGCACCGCTCGCTACCCGCCCCCCGCGCCGCTGCCAAGCCGCTGTTTTCGAGAGTCGGTCCATTTGATTTTACACATAAGATCCTGCCGCTCCCGCGCCGCCGCCGCTGCCGTCCCGCTGCCCGCAAGATTCGAGGTAGAGGCCTTACAGACGGTCGCGCAGCGTTCGGCGCGCCAAGCGCACAGCAAGTGGTCGTGGCTGAACAGCGCCTTCTCTTTCTATATAACCTCGCAGTGGACCCATTCGCTGGATGCTTACAATGTCCTGTTCTTCAATTTTCACATTTAATTTTTCACCAATAAGCATAACAAGTTGAGTCACGTTCTCACCCTTATGCTCAGGTATACAACTTATTTCTACATCAGTAAGGAGCTGTTCCTGATCACGATCGTTCAACTCGAACTTAAGACGCTCCAATGTGTCGCTTAGCTTTTTGTTCTCATCCTTATATTTTTCCATGCATTCGTCTTTTTCGAGATTAGCCACCCGATTCTCTATTCCATCAACTCGCTTACTTAAGTCGCTGACGGCAAGGTAAAGCCTGTCGAACTTTGTTCCAAAGTTTACAAATTCATTGCGCATAGCGACAATTTCCGTACGTAACTCCTCTATCATCTTACTTGTAGCATCACAGCCACTGCAACTAGGAGGTGATGAGTTCGAGGAACTACTCTGGCTTATTTCTGTTTGCACCTTAATCGGAGTCTCCGTATTATCTTTTCGTGGTTGTTTAGAAGTACAGCCCGGACAAAGCCATTTTGGAGATACTTTATAACTTTTGGATAACCTTAAATATAATTGCAAATATAAATTATTAATTATTATTGATTTATATAGTTTTCTCATCTGGTTGGGTTCTATAAATATATAGTTATAAATTAAAATTATTATGGGATTACCCCATTCGCAGAGACGCCTACAGGAATAATTTCGACCAGCAATCCACCCCACATGTCGGTCACCTCGTGAGCCAGGTCCAGATATTTTGTTCGTTTATCTGTTTCGGTTTTCACGAGGTTCTCGTCATACGGAATGGTAATGTCGACCAAAAATATCCTTGACTGTGCCCGGTCCATCAGCACAATATCAGGCTTATTCGCAAGAATAGTCCTGTCCATGATGATGGCCGGTCCCGGTATAGTCTGGTGCGGTCATTTTCGAGCATGGCTTCCGGCAAGTATTTGTAATACGGCAATTTCCGATCCACGAGACCATATTTCAGAGCGAGCTACTGGTGTAGTATTCTGGATACTAGGCTGTGCCTGTACAAGTACTCAGAGTTAGAAAGCGCCGAACAACCGGAGATGACATGCCTAAGTGACTCCCCGGGATGGCGACAAGCTCGACAGATGTCGACAGTGCCATCCTTTAGGATTTATCCCCGATAATTGTTGGTCTTAATAACCTGATCCTGTATTGCACAGACAAAAACCCTCGGTTTCCCCGAAGAGGTCACCGAAACGTAGCCAGTTGAGGGAGGCGGTTGTATCTACGTGGGGCTCATGTAGAGCCCTGTAGTACCTCCCGTGGAGCTCCTTCTCCATTCAAACGCTCTCCCGGTCGGAAATGCTTTGTACTGCCGGGTCCCGCCATTGCGGATAGAGGGGTAAGTCCTTTATCACTAGAAATGACGTCATTATAGAATGGATCATCCGATCTCGCCAGGAAGTAATGACAGAGGCTGCACACTCCGCGATTATGCATGGTGAGCGCGCTCAGGAAGACACGCTCACCATGCTTTCGCGACAAGTACAGCCTCATTACTGACGATCTCAGATGATGCATCCTATGGGACGTCATTGTAGTGCGGACTTTTATATCAAGGGGGTTAAGTTCAGTCTGACTCCACCTGAGTATTACAAAGGTATATATGAGGACAGGCATGACCCAGCTGTTATACGCGCGTGTCTTATTCACACCGGACAAAAGGTTGTTAAGCACTTTGGTCAAGCGTGCATAAAACATGTCGTAAACTGACTGTTTCATACCAGCCTCATCGATACCGATGTTCTGTGACACACCCAGGTATCGGTATGTTTCAGCCTCGGAAAGGGTCCTTAAGTTGACGGGAATAGATAAGTCTATGCCCTTAGAGTTTGTAACCCGTCCCCTTTCAACATGGAGGACCGCGCACTTATCCGTCCCCAGCTCCATTCTAATAGAATTGCTAAATTCACAAGTGATGTTTAGCAATTCCACAAGATGGGAGCGACTGGAGGCGAATAATTTGAGGTCATCTATATAGAAAAGGTGGTTCACTTTTGTACCTCCTTTCCGAAGCTGATATCCCCTCTCGGAGCCCTCCGGTAAAGTACTGAGAGAAGTCAAAGAGAGGGAGAAACAGATTGGACTCAGACAGTCACCCTGAAATATACCCCTTCTTATCCTTATGTGGCTTTACACAGCCGTCATCCGCTCGCCTAGATGACAGAGGATCGTACTCCACTGCCCCATACACTGCTCGAGGTAGTCTCGAACTGTACAGTCAATCTTGTACAGCTCGAGGACCCTCTTTAGCCATGTATGGGGCACAGAGTCAAATGCCTTTCTGTAATCTATCCCGGCGGCGGAGAAGTTCCAACGTTTTTTTTATTTATTATTATTATTATTTTATTTATAATATTTCACAATTTATTAATGTTTCTTTTTGTCAAAAATTAAAAAAATACTTCGCAGATACTAGTCACCGACAAGAGCACGGCTATAAATTCTACACATTTTCAGGGACAGGCGGGCAATGCTTTAGCACGTAGCAATCGTTTCCCATTCTTTAACCTCCATGATATATACCGTAGACAGTCGATTAAGAATCATAATGCCGTAGACAGAGAAACCTATAGACAAATTGACGCCTTCTTTCACATTCGTACACGAAAAAGATGGATTTATGCATAAGTCTTGCATAAAAATAAGACAGAGCGGTGTGACTCTTTGTCCCTTTCTCCTTGCCGGTTTTTTTTGTTTAGCAAACTACACTTTGATAAACAACTTTGACAGTTCGTAGCGATCTAAGGAGTTTACAAGTTGGTTTAAGAGAGAAAAAAGTGTTTTGTGAGCTTAAGATTGATGAATCTTGTTCAGTTCAGTTCATAGTACAATTAAAGATTTTATCTCAATATGTTTATAAGTCATAAAGATTATTTGTATAACCTAAAACTACGTTCTCGTCCTTTATCACTCGAGGCCACGCTAATCACTAGTCTATAAGTTTTTCTGTCTACGATATAACGATATATACACTCTTATCTATGGATGCTTACACATTATTTTCGGTATATATAATGGTACTCTGGGCGCTTTGGCGGGAACTTGGCCGAAGATGGACTGTCGCTCCAGTTTTGTCATTTGAATAATGGTTTGTAGTGGATTTTGATTCGTAAAAGTGATGCGATTTCATGAATTAAGTGTCTGCGCGTGTGAACTATTAGAGTAAACGACGAAACAAGTGCTTTCATGTTGATATAAATCTCAAGTTATTTTGATCGCTTGGGCGCCTCATTAACTTGAGGAGTTGTCATCATCAACTGTCCACTGGATTAATCCGTCGTCAAAATCTCCCAAAAACTTCACAATGTGACGCATCAGCATATTGTAAAAAAAGAAACATAATAAAAAAATGAAGATTCCGAAAGAGATGTTAGGCTCAGAAGGGCTAGAACCCAGAGCCGTAGAGCCAGTAAAAATAGCTTGCTACATATTTATTTATCTATGGTAAAAATGCCCTATTCATCGTTATGGCCATATTCACCTTTGAGCATAGAAAATAGATTCACTGACCTCTATATATACAAGTACGCTGGACCGTCACATGATAAGGCAATTAAATTTGAGCAAATTTTGGCGCTGACAGCTGAAGTGCACGTCCACGGAACCAATAATAGGGATAATACAGTGTGACAAAATATATCGATAAAAATTCTATACCCTATCTACACCTAAATAAATAGAATGGACTCTTTCGATAGATGAATACCTGTAACGTCCATTCTATTTATATATCATATTAATATAATGCTATTATCATTCATCATCACTAAATCGCTTCACAAGTCCACTGCTGAACATAGGCCTCTCCCAAGGAATGCCACAAAGCACGGTCCTAAGCCACCTGCATCCATCAACTTCCTGTATGTCTTACCAGGTTTTCACTCCATCTAGTAGGGGAACTTCCGACACTTCACTTGCCGTTACGAGGCTGCCACTCGAGAATCTTTTTTCCCCATCGGTTATCGGTTCTTCGAGCCATATGGCCAGTCCATTGCCACTTCAGCTTACTAATCCGTGGGGCAATGTCAGTCACTCTGGTTCTACTGCCAATATCCTCATTGCTAAGTTTATCCTCCTAAGCTTTCCACCTTCGGTAGTGCCACGTATTGTAAGGGGCTTGACATAACGCAATCCATGGGTTCTTGATCGAACACTTAATTGCCTTTGTAGGTGGATAATGCGCAAGAGGAAGCTGCCAATAACCGTGAATGTAAACGATGGTCCGAATTTGTAAATAAGAAAGAAACTAAAGTAGTAGGGCCACTGCGAAGTTAAAGCACAAATTAAATCTTGAGACTCGAAAGAGAACTAAATCTCTTGACTCACTTACTAAAACCCCATGGTGTTCTACCTCCACCGCAAATTGACAGGGCCACGGAAACGCTTTCATGCACATCCGCGGCCCCTCCAGCGCCAGCCGCCCAGTGGCAGCCCCTCCTTAGTTGCAGACATCTCCCACCCGATTTTCTTCTCAGATAAGGCGCACCAGAAACACAAGGCACACTGCCCTTCGTGGCCTCTGAATCCACCTGCACTACGGATTCCCCGAGCCCGATATGTGAATAGAGCCAGGAAAAAATGAGCACTTGGAAGCGTCAAGTGGTGCAGCCTCACCAAAGTCGCGAAAAATAGTCGAGTGGCATCGAATCGCCAATCGCCATACCAACGCTCCTCTTCCCTGACGCCTCCACCTCGACTACAGCAACACAGGGAGCGGCATCTCCTCTAGCTGCAGCCCACTAACACAAATCCAACGTGGTTTGACATCATCAGGCGACCTTTCGACACTTCGCTACCGCCCTTGAGTTTGGGGCAAAATGAGGAAAGAAGAAAAAAAACATTCAAAATAATAATCTTACACTTTTATACTTACTGGTACTACCAGAAAATACTGTCGGAATACTGCACTTTTCGAAGTGGTGCAGTTCTCATGTCTAATAAAAAAGTCGTCTGTGAAATCTTCAGAACAAATATGATAATTTTGTTTCGGACGCCAATTCACAATATTTATGCTTTTAAGCCATAATTTTAGTCTAGGTTCAGATGGAAACCTGTTAAATAATAAACATTTGATAATCATCTGTTGATGGCGACTTTGTTTGTTAACAGAATAGAATACTATAATACATACATAATAGAGTGTGTGGAGGAAAATAATAATCAACGCGCCTGCCAAGTTTGAAAACCAAGACATATACACTATCTTGCGGCAACTATGACAAAATCTTCCCTAAGTGGCAATCTATGGGGGATGCCTATAGTCAGCAGCAGGCTTTCATAGGATGTATATTTGTAGGAATAATGAATTAAGAAAAAATAAATAGAAAAATTGCCGACCGGTCGTGATA